TACTTTTAGCTTGCCTCTCAAACATGGGTATATACCAGCTGCTCATATTAACAAGTGGTTGCTTGTATCATAGAGTTTACCTTTGTACATTGTTAGTCTGGGGGTTGGCCCCAAATGGAGGACTCACATTAGTTTAATGGGACGAAATTATACCATATAGTATAGCTGAGACACTGATTTGGCACTCTTGAAAACTTTTTCTTTCAAATAGAAGGCTACTTGAGTAACATTTTACAAGCTCTGCTGTCAGTTAAAAAACACAGGCAGGTGGTACTTTCAGATAAATAGCTCATCAGACATGCTTCTCCAGAGAAATTTGTCAAAGGCAGTTGCAGTGACCTGCGTCACTTCTGTCTTAGAGGTGGCTGGCAAGTCCTCCTTAATAAATACAAATACTTTTGAGTCTGAGGCAGTTCTGGCAAAACCCAGAGTCCTTTTATACCTCCACAAATGAGCCAGAGCTCTGGTGTGTTGTACTGGAAAAGACGCTGCTTCCCTCTTTCCAGGAGGCTAAAGGGAGATCATGGAAAGCTACAGCTGAACAGCTTCTGCATGTTAATGGGCATGGTCAGGATTTTACAGTTGGGATTTTCAAAACAGAAGGAACCCAAACCTCAGTGAAGCAGAGGCTGATTTCAGTGCCTGTTTTCCAAAATCCTGTTTGCAAATTCTAGCTGCAAACCTTAGGTGGTCTGAAGTTGGCATTTTGGCTCTCAGAAGTGTATCTTGCTTAGCCAGGCAGATTGACCCACTGTCCAATTGCATGCACATCACATATCGACAGGCTCACGTGGCACCAGCCTCCTGCTTCATGCATATTCAGCATGCATTGCTCAGAATCATGCCATTGTAGTTGGGTCTGGGCTGTGCCGTGCACACACACGCACACACACATGCACACACACTGTCTGCAACACACCCAGTGCTTGCAGGACCCTTGACCACAGTAGGACCTTTTATTCCTTCCCTATGGGGCAATTTTTCACTAAGGATTGACCAAAGCATTTAATTATTATGTCATTAAGTCATGCTGTGAGGGATCCCCTGTCCTCTAATTTATCTGGGGAACACTGTACCCATGTAAGAGCCAGGCTTGAAGCCTGTCTCAGCCTGGCCGAGCGTGGGGCCAGCACGTGCTGGCAAGTGGCTCTGCAGAGAGATGTGTGTGCGAAGGTGTGCAGCTCCAGCTCAGCTCCCGGACCCGCCGTTCTCATACTCACTGCGTCCCCATGTGCTGGGGAGGCTGGTCTAAGCCTGGGTGGTCGCCTCTTCGGCATGCAAAGGAAGGGTGCAGGCATGAACAGGCAGCTACCCTTCATCAAAGACTCAGGCCACCATTCATATTTTGTGACCTGTTGAAGGGCAGTAAACCCATGGGGTCAGCAAGTGTTTGAGGAAGTTGCTTGCTGTCTTAATCAGTTTCATATGAATATAGGATGAGGTGAAACTTAAAGCAGACATATAAATGTGGTGGACAACCTCATCTTTCATTTTCATTCCTGTTCAGAATAAAAAAAAGGCTGTGGAGGCGGTTGATGCACCCAGTCCTGGGTTCACCTGATGGTGAAGGAGCAGATTTCTCCTGGCTTTGCCCCTTGGTAACTGTTTGCAATGCCAGACACCAATGTGACAGTGTGAACGGTTATAGGAGAAAATGGTACCCTGAGGAAGCCAGGCAAAGGATCCCAGCCGGTGCACCTCTGATCACTTTTAAGGGAGATTTGTTTGTGTAAGGAAATGTAGGACAAAAATAATATTAAAAGCCTTTGAAGTGATTGAAGCTGCAACTGAAGGAGCAAACATGGCTCTGACACATAGCTCAGGTGTTTTCAGCAGCATTTAAATTCCAGGGGAACTGATACACCTCAAATTGCTGAGGCCTGTTGAAAAAAAAGTGCTTTCTCCAGGGAAGCCCACAGACCATGGCTGGACCCCACAAGTCTCCACTGATTTCTAGCTCTGAACTCTCCTTCTCCACCTTCCCTGCCCAAGGAGCCATGAGGTTCACCTCCCTCCTGCACTCCCTTTTCCAAGGTGGTTTGGCTCACCCCCTTCTCCCTAAGGGAGAGGAGGAGGAATGGCTGTGGGAGTGGCAAATCCTGCCCGAACAGCTGGACACAGCAGCAGTGCCGCAGCTCTCCGTCCCTGCAAGGGAAATGAGGAGAAGGCAGATTTGGTTCCTGCCCTTGAAAATCCTAACTGACCTACTGCAGGCTGTGGCTAAGGGGTTGTGTGTGTCCCCAGGCTGGACCTGTGCACTGGGACAGCCACGTAAAAATCATTCAACTCATATCCCTCCTCTGTGCTGAGATTTTCCACCTAGCAGTTGGCACATATTTTTTCCATGCACATGGGAATATTTGCCTCGGGTCTAAAAGATACAGGATCCCTCTCTCCCAAGTCTCATTTGGCTGGCGAAAGGGGGCAGCTGCCTTTTCATCTCCTCTCTCGCGCATGCACATATGCCCAGAACTGTGTCATTTGGCCTCTGTCCATCTTGCTCTGAGTCGTGGCAAGTCTTTCCTTACCTGATACAGCTTAGTAAATATCCCAATCATTTCATGGCATAAAGGGGCAGGTTTCAGGATATACACACACTTGGTCAAGTCCGTCCTGAGTCATTCAGCATCTTCCTTGTTGAGGGGAATGAGAAAATGCAGTTCGGCATCTCTCTGCATGAGAATACAGCCCACTTCCAGTCTGCAGGAATATGAGGCAGAAGATCCTAGAAAGAAAGAGAGAGGGCTTAGTTGCTCATTTTGGGTCTTACCACCAAGTGGCGTTAACTCAGGGAACTCTACTGAAATGGGCTTTTGTATTTTTTGGCTCAGCTCTCATTTGTTTGCCTGTCTACTGCCTACATCCCAGGTTCCCCTGGTGCGTGGCCTTTTTCTTTCATCAGCAGATGATGTTCCATGTACAGCATCCTGAGCTAGCTCACTTGTGCTCACTTCATTTAACGTGAAGGTATTGTGTGCAGAAAATGTAAGTATCTCAAAAAGGGAGATTTGCATAAATTTCCAATACTCTCCTTTGACAGAGGAATTTTTAAGCATAAAAATGATCAGGCTGTGAATAATACCTCCTGTCCAAATGCTTGCTGGTGAAAGCACACCAGTTGCTGTGCTGTGCTGCAGAATTTTGCAGCGCTTCGACTGAAATAGAATATGAAAAATGGTAAAAACTGCACACTTGTGTTCTGGATGCCATTTTGTAAGGATGGTTTGTGAGTCGCATTCTCCTGCACCTCAAAACTGTGAGCAATTGGTGGAGCTCCAGCTGCCTGCATCAATACAGCTGGGTCTGCTGCTAAACCCCCCAACATAGGTACATGCTCTGACTATGTTGTAACTGCATTTGGAGCATTACCTAGTCCATGCCGCTGGGTTTCTGCAGGAAGGAAACTTGGGCATGTATCTGGAAAGACTCTGGCCTGGTCCCTGCTTTGTAAAGCCAGCACTCAGGACCCTAGCATGTACCACCAAGATCCCCATCCCTTGACTTCCATGCTGTCCATAGATCTATTCATGCGTGTTCATGATCACAGGTCCAGTGCTGAACGCTGACACTTAAAAATATGAAAGAGTTATTATACTGTGTATATTGATGGAGAATATAGTAGGATGTCAATCTTGCATGAAGAGAAAAAAGCTCAGTAATACAATAGCAATTTTTGCATTCAAACCCATCACTTTGAAAAGCAATGCTAATATGTGTAATAGTAATGAGTAATAAAGCTCATTGACTCAAGGCAAACATGCCGCGGTGACTCACAATTTTTGGAGATTAGATGATAAGAACTACTAGGCTAGATTAATTTTGTTTCTTTTCGTATTTGTGAATTTTTTTTTGACAGATTGCAGTTTTCCTGAATTTACTCTTTGTTCAGAATGATTTGACAAGTGGCATCTATGAAATCTGTTTGGCTGGTGGTGCGTTCAAGCTGTTCATGAGGACTTGTGCAGTGTGTGCAATTAAAGCTGTTTTGTTTAGATTGTCATGAGCATGTTCTTTGGCTGGATGAAAAGTCCTCTCAGAAACAGGTTATCGGTGTAAAGAAATTAAATTCACTTTTGTGGACTGGATATTCAGCAATTGTTTAATAAAATTTTGCTTTTATAGTGACTATTCCTGATGGTAAGATTGTTTGCTGGAGGGGTTGGAATAAACTATACGAACTGGGTGAAAAACACTGTCAAAATTAACTCCTTTACAAATGTAAAAATATATTGGTTGAAAATGGGTTTCTGCACTTGCTTTGCTCTAACATCTCCCATGGATCTAGATAAGGAAAGTTATCTAACAAGCAGAAAGTTTCTTTTTAATATTTCTGAGATGGTTGGATTTGCAGTAGCAAAAGGGATTTACTCTGTATTTTAAGGTCCCATCTGAAAAATGGTTCCATGTAACTATTAAGCAGTGGTAAAACCAGGAGTCTTTTCCTTTCTTAAAACTTAGGAAATAACAAAATCATATTGTCAAAACTTTGAATGGGAAAGTGGTTTATATATTGTGGCTAACCCGAAACTTTCTCATTCATTTATCAACAACCCAAACTTCAAAATGCTTTGATCAAGCATTTGGCATGTGGACTTGTGACAAAAAAACAATCCAGACTTTCCAGAGTATGTAAATGCAAGCTAGGGTGAAAACTTGCCATACAGCCCTAGCAACAACACAAACCCCAGCTTGCATTTGCCTTGCTGCTGCAAGAGACCCACCATGCTGCGGTTGGAGATTTTCATCCTTCTTATCTAACCCAGACACAGACACATGAAATACAAGGATTTCAAGTAGGTCATCGGTCGTCATTTCCTCAGTGCGTTGCTGAAGTCACTTCACTGCTTCTGTTGAGGAGTTCCTGTCGATGCTGATGTGAGCAGGAGCATCACTCCTCTCTTCACCCTCCTGCAAGGACTCTGAGCATTGCAATGGCCATGGTGGCTGTCCTCAATGCTCTTCCAGCTCCTGCCTTTAACATGTTGGTCTTCTCTCCCCAGCTATCGACCTGTTGTACTGGCGTGACATCAAGCAGACAGGGATCGTGTTCGGCAGCCTCCTGTTGCTGCTCTTCTCCCTGACCCAGTTCAGCGTCGTCAGCGTCGTGGCCTACCTGGCCCTCGCCGGCCTCTCAGCCACCATTAGCTTCAGAATCTACAAATCGGTCCTACAGGCCGTGCAGAAGACGGACGAGGGCCACCCCTTCAAGTGAGTGCTTTGCAGTCATGGCCAGGGGCCATTTATCTTGCAAAGGATCCATTCCCAGTGGCAATTCACATTTCTTTAGCTGCCATTTTTGTACTGGAAAAAATTCCTTTCTTGCTCATAACAGGGGAAATAATTTTTTCTGTTGTCCAGTGTCTCAAGAACTGTAAGGCTGTATTGGCTCAAATCCTGGGTGGGGGGAACAACACAAAAGCCATCGTCCTCTGAGACATGGGAATTTTTTTCCTGAATTTCAAAAGATCCAGAAGATTTTAAGCAAACAGAGAAAAAGAGCTGCATTAGAGCTAATGATAATACAGTATCTCTGCAAGCAGGAAGAGTGTTGTTTCTGGGCATACTCTATTTGCCATAGAGAGAAACTATTTATATCTTTTCTTCAGCACTGCTTGGCTGTGATGTGGCAATCCATTACCCTAGGTGATGGTGCGAGTGCCAATGCCGGTGCCCTTCTCACCCTCCGCAGGGTCTGGGTGGTTTGTTCGAGGAAAGCAACGATCCTTTCTCCTCTGCTGTGCCAACAAGTTGGTAAACCAGATCATGGAACTGATCTAGTTTGCAAACACATACACTGAAAAAAAGTCTTGTTGGGGTGCTTCTCCTTCTGTTTCACTTGGGTCAGTTCTGCTGCGACTCACAACATGGGCATAGCTCAGAGAGGGGTGCAGGGCAGGCAGAGGGATGGAGGAGGGAGAAGGAGGCAACACTGCCAAAGGTGACATGTGGCCAGACAGCAGCTTTTGTTCCTCCAGAGGCGGCCAGCTGGAAGAGGTGTCCCCCTCTGCAGCAGGAAGTTTGTGGGGAAACCCCAGCTAGGATTTGCATCCCCCTTTGGATGGAGTAAAGAGAGAGATCCCATCAAGACCAGGCTCTGCGCAGGGAGAGGGCAAGGCTGGAGGCAAACAGCCCTGGCACAGCCTGCAATTGCTCAGGGAGATGGGTCATGCAAGGCAAAGACAGTGTGTGCTGGTGGCTCTGTGCCTGCAGGAAGGGGGACATGTTCCTCCAGCACAAAGAAATGAGGTCCGGGGAGGAGGGAGTGACGGGGTAGACAGGCATGAGCGTGAACAGCAGGTGAACCTGCCTGGGTTTGTAACTGGACCTGTGTTTCTGGCAGAGCCTACTTGGAGATGGAAATGAATCTTTCACAGGACCAGATTCAGAAATACACAGACTGTCTCCAGCTATACGTCAACAGCACAGTCAAAGAGCTGAGGAGACTCTTTCTCGTTCAGGACCTCGTGGATTCTTTAAAAGTAGGATTGCTTTAAATATTTTTAACCCCTCTCTAGAGGATAAATCTACATTTCAAAGTGCTGCTTCCCATGTTGACAGTGTCGTCATAAAACCTAGTTTTGTGTAGCTCCAAATATAAAAGTTGCTCTCCTTTTTAATTTTCAAACTGCTTGCTTCCAGCAGTTTAGAGTTTGGCAATCTGCATTTGAATGTATTGATCCATAATACAGGAGTTATAAAAGTTGTAGGACCAGCTTAGCTCCACTGCAGTTCTAGAAGCATCTCTGTGTTATGCTTTCTATGACTTTGCCACAAAATGGTGTGTTCCCCTCTGTTAATACTTCTGTTAATACCTCTGTTAATCTGGATTTCCTCTAATGGTGGCATTTCCTGCTATGGAGGAAGGTCTTCTTTCCCTCCCTGCTGAGATAATTATTTATTTTCAGCCTTACGCCCAAGTAGGCGTTCTTCAGAGCAAAAGAAAGATCATTAAGAGAGCAGACATGGGTTAGGCTTCTAATTACTAAAGATTTTTAGAAAAATGTACCCATCTCCCAGCCTCAAGAGTTTTCAGTCACTGGGATTATCACTGTGGGGCTGTGATTAACCAGGTTAATGATGACCCTTGCCATCATCAAAATTGGATGCAGAAATCTGCCTGTGCCATGCTCAATGCAGAGTCCTAAATGTATGCAATTAAGCCTTAAATATACGTGAAAGCTCAGCTAAGAGGGTGAGAAGCAGTGAACAGCAGAACGGAGAATGGGGTTTATACACCCAGAAAAAGTACCTAGTTCCTAATGTGCCTTACTTAACAAGTCCCCTTACACATTAAAAAAGGCTAACGTGCCATTATGTTAGCTAGTTAAGTGAACTAATTTTTTCTTACGCTGACAGTGGAGGTGATGTAATGATCCATCTTTAATCTAGTTTGCAGTACTAATGTGGCTGCTGACTTACGTGGGAGCCCTCTTCAATGGCTTGACTCTTCTGATAATGGGTAAAAATCAACATTTCTTTTAAAATCTATTTTTAACTTTAACTCCCTCGTGATTTCTACTTAGACAAAACAGCCTATCCTCGTTGTGCCTTCCCCACAGTTAAACCATTCATTTTTATTTCGCTTTCCAGTAAATATTCATTATCCCCATTACATTGTCCATCCTGCTAGAACTAATTTGTGTCTTATGGTTTTGCAGCTACTAGTCCCAGAGCAATGGGAAATTCCATATTTGGGAGGTTTGAGCAAAGTTCATTTTTAATACAAAGATCCCTGGTGGATCAGCTGACCAAGTGGCATGATATGTGTTTGTCACTGTGTGAAGTAGGTCTCTTCTCTGGAGGAATTTGATCGGCAGGAATATAACAGTGCGCTCTTTTTCTCCTCAGCTGTGGTGTCTATGTTTACTCTCCCCGTTGTATATGACAAGTACCAGGTAAGTCTGTCAGCACGGTGTAGTTCAGGTGTCTGGGTGGCTCTGCCTTGTTGATGCCTGACTGACTCGGTCTCCTTTTGCTCTTTGCAGGCACAGATTGATCAATACTTGGGACTGGTGCGGACCCACATAAACACTGTTGTGGCAAAGTGAGTTCAGCAGCAGACTTGACCAGAAGTCTTGCTGTGATGTTGCAGTGCACTGGGGGTGGCTAAGAGCTGGGTGGTCCTGGGGACAATGTGCCCTATGACTGATGTCCTCCCCAGCTCCTGGCATGCAGGAGCCTGTGGGAGGGCAGATCCCTGGAGGAACACAGGCCTTCTCAGCTGAGTGTAGACTGCGGCAGAGCTGTGACCCTACATCCTTCTCTCCCCTCTCCTGCTGTTTGGGGGAGCTGTGGACAGAGTAGCCCAACCAGGGACTCATGTCCATACTTTTGCCTGGCCAAGACAAACCAGAAGGAATGTGTTAACTCCCTTTCCTACTGACCACCCCAAGGCCGGGTTTTTGCATTCAGTGACTCTGTCCTTTAGAGTTAATAATACCATTTAAGAACAAAGTGGGAATTAGAACAACACCCTGTTACAGAAGGAAAATACCTGGAAGCACCACGATCTTGAGTGTTTCAAACCATCATGGAACAGATGGAAGACCTGGATGAAATTTTTGATGCAGTCTGCTCTAGTTCCTAATGTGCTGCCTGTATCAAAAGCTTTTGTGGGATCCCTAAGGGCACGGTGAGGGTCTAAGCATAGTTCTCGACACTTAAGAATTAATAAAGCAGAATGGCTGGACTGGGAGGTAGATCCATACATCTCAGCAGTTCGTATCCACGGCTTTGCAAAAGTTGGCTGAATAACGGGTATCCAATGGAAGGTTACAAAATGGTGAGGTACAGAGAGCAAGTGACCCACAATGAGATGCAGAGGAAACTGGGCTTGTTTAGCCTGGCAAGGAGGGAGCTAAGGAGTGATTTCATAGCAGCCTATAAGTACTTAATGGAAAGTTACAAGATGATAGAACCAAACTCTTCTCAGTAGTGGCAGATGTTATAACAAGGAGCAACAACATAAATCCAGCTTAGGAGGTTGATGTTGGACATTAGGAGAAACTTTTTCACTAGGAGATTAGGACAGCACTGGACCAGGCTATACAAGGAGGTGCCAGAACCTCCTTCCTTGGAGGTTTCCAAGATGCAGCAAGACAAAGCTGTGGCCAACCTGATCTAGAATTGAGGATAGTCCTGCCTCATGCCTGAAGTTGATTCAAAGACTTCCAGGGGTCCTTTCCAGCCAATATTTCTGTGATTCTGCAAAACCCTTAGCCTTGGGCAGGACTAAAAAACTGTACTGAAAATTCTTTGTTTAAACTTCATTCCTGGCTTCCAATAGACAATAGACCATGGTAGAATAATGAAGCGGGGATAGTATCACTGAGAATATCCCATGGTTCCATGAACCACCAAAACCCGGGCCATTTACAACTAGGGGCCTGTAAGAACACATAGATGGGCATCACCCCTTTTTCTTATTTTCTGTCACCTGTTGTGACAACACACCAAACGCAAGCTAAAGAGATTACCCCTGGATAAGACTCCAAGTGGGGATCCACTGGAATGGAATAGCTGCCTGACCATATAATCCTCCTTTCTTCTTCTTTATTTCTAGGATTCAAGCTAAAATCCCAGGTGCTAAGAGAAAGGCAGAGTAAAGCAGACATCAAGAATTCATCGACTACAGTAGTGAATAACAGGGGAATCTGGAGTGAAACAGCTCTGTTCTTACACTTTACTGCAAATTTATCGTTCTTTTTTTTCTTGACACCATAATCTTAGAAACATAAAACTCAGAAGCAGTGCTTTTCCCCTGCTGCTTCTGCACTTAGAATATTTGCAATCACTTGTGTCAAGCACTAAAGTATAGTAAAGAGAAAAGTGTACTAGATGTGTTTTTTTGTGTTGCTTATAAAGTGCATGATGGTGAGAGCCTAAATAATACTGACCTTTTTTATTTTATTTTTTTAGTGGTTTTCCTTCTTCTATTGGCATTGCTTCTATAACTTTTAATGTTACATGTGGCTAGGGGCTTTCCTGCTTAGCGCACTGATGCAATAGTTAAAATTGCTTCTACGTCACTGGGTTGCTGGTTGGATTCATCTTTATTAACTATATAGAATTGTAGACTGATGTTTTAGTGTTTTCCAGCACAAATAAAATAAACAGTAATCGGTACTTATGGTAATCAGTTTTGTATAACTCAAAAAAATGAAAACAAAACCCAGTACTTTTGTCGTAAGGAATTGACAGGCTGATTTACATGTATGGTAACTGGAAAGTTCCAGCATGTTAAATTTATTACAATTTGTATTACATTCTCTGTAGTTCCTAATGGACTTAATTATGGACTCTGAATATTTGCACTTATGTACTTGATACCGAATGCAGAAATAAATGTTACTAAATGTAAAAAGTTCTCCCTCTTGTTGCCACTGGGATTATCTTGACACATGCAAACTGGACACATATCGTGCAAAAAGACGCATTTTTTCTCTCTCTCTCCCATTGAGATCTGCACACACTTTGCCCTTACAAAATGGTGCAGTCCAACAAGATCATCTGTAGTACAGCTCATCTCATAGAATCATAGAATCAAAGAATCATT